TCCAATTATTATTTACATACAACATTAAATATTGATACTTATTAAATATAATAATGAAAAATGATTACAAAAAAAATGTATTTATTTATCTTAAATAGTTAATGTAGTTTTTTTACACTGAAATTAATTTTCCCCTTTTACTCCTCATATTAGATTTTCATTACAAAAAGTTTTCAGACAAATTGATAAGTTTTAACACATGCCACAAAAGGGCTAATGTTTCAGTAATAGAAAGATATTTGAAATCGTTAATTTTTTTAATATAATTAACCATACATTTTGAAATAATAATTTTACAAAAAAATTTTATAGACGTTAATTACATATTAATATTATTACAATAATTTAATATTTTTACCTATTTTTAAATATTTAACTTTTAAAATTATTTGAACTTGATTATAAAAAAAAAAAAAAAATAATTAATAATTGTTTGTCAGAGTAATAAACAAAATGGGTTCTATATAATGTGATTTAAATTAATGGAAAGTTTCTTCCTGCATTAACGGGGAAAGGGTTAGTTGATTGACTTCCTATAGTAATGATATTATTAAATTTTCTATAAGTCAACAAAAGAAAATCACTTTAGTGACGATTACCGAGAACTTATAGAGTGGACGATCATTTTTCTAGTTGGTATACTTTCTAATTTTATTCATTTTAAAAACCTGGTGCCATTTATCATACCCGTTGTATGGCCAAAGCTATTTATAGCTTAAAAATGTATTTATTTCGCGAGAAATTTCGAACAACAGTGAAAGAAACTGCATTATGAAATATTTTTTTTTTGTTATTCAACTCTACATTAAAGTATGGTTTAACGCATCCTCTACTATCAAAGCACCTGCACAAGAGTTAACTTTTATTAAAAATCTTTTAAATTATAGTACAATAGATAAATACACATTTCAGATTGTAATTTAAAAGTTCTATGGTCACCTATGGTATTTGTTGGAAGAGTTATGTGCTTTTGCTTTTTTGATGAAGCTGTTTCGATTGATATGAAAAAAAAAATGGTAAAAGTGCTTAACAATGAAGAAAGTACATCAAAATTGTTATAAACTACACAATGTATAACGATATCTGCAAAAAATTCTAACGAGCTATTAGAAAAAAAAAATTGAAGATTTTATATGTGTAAAAACTAATAATCTATTTAAGCGAAATGCCATAAACACAGATTTTCTTAAACTTGACTTGTCAACTTGGAAAAGTAATGCTAATTTTCAAAAAACAATAGCTATTTAAAAAAAAATTCTTGTTATCAACGATTTCGCAAAAATAGGTGTAAAGTTAATAGAGTAATCTAAAGACAAAATTACTAAGAATGAATTACAAAAACAGTATTTATTACAAGTTCTTAGCGACTACCGCAAAAAATTCCATGACCACAAAAAAGAAACGCTTGTTACATCATTATAAATTGAGTTGTATTATTATATTTTAAAACGTATTTCATGTAATTATTTATAACCCAAAATTAGTTATTTATTATCTATAATTAAATTAAATTATTATTTTTTTTATCATTATTTTAATTACGAAATCTATAAAATATGTGCTGATTTTATACTTATAATCGAATACACATAAAAATTTAATATTTAAAAATAAAATATATGATTAAAAAATTATTAAAAATTTAATTTCTTATAACTAATGTTGCTGAAATTTTAATGCAGGATTTGTATTTCTAGAGTTATGATTGGTAATGTTAAAAAAAAAACTGAAAATTTTTGTTATTAACTTTTTTTTAAATTTTAGAGATTTTATGGCACGGGTTAAATTTAATCAATTTATCTGAAACTTTTTATACATACTTTTTTTTAGTAATGGAATAGATTAAGGGAGAGTAATTAAAAAAAATTATATAGTTCGTTATCCAGTATCACGCTACTCACAGCCCACTTGTGAGCCTCGAGACCTAGGTTAGGAACCACTGAATTCTATGCAATACTAAAGTTACATGGTAAGTCAGTAAAAATAATATCATATTTAAAAAACGGGAAGGTTTGTAACCACTTTTTGTACAGTATAAAATAAATATGATGAGTTTATATCGTCATCATACACACTTTAGCTTATCTATTAAATTTTAATCCAACGATAAATCATCACATGAATGAGAAAAACTGTAAGAGATAGATTAAATTACTGAGAATTCAAAATAGATTTATTTTGATACTTATGTAACTTTTTTTTATTATTAATTAAAAGGTATCTTGAATTATTTTTTTCCAAAATCATTGCATTATTTTAATAAATAAATATTATTTAATTATTAAAATAGTATATATTCATATTACATATTTTAGAATCCAAGAGTAACTTAAAGTTAAACTATATGAATAGATTCGTGATTAAATAGACAAAATCATAACACTAGTAAAAACGATTTAAAAATGTTAGTGTAGCATTGCGCATATTTGTAAACATTTCAAACTCCCGCGTGTTATATAACTTAATAGTTATTATTAAACAAAATAATTAAAATTAGTATTTGTAATTAAAATATATAACTTATTATCCATTAAAGAATTGTAATTATTTATTTTTTGGTTCCAGAATGAAATATTTTTGAGATTTTTGGTGTTAAATTTTCAATAATTAGCATCAAACGAACATTTTTAATATCAATATTTTAAGAAGAAAGAAAAAGTTTTAAATATTCTAAAATAGCTTAATAATGTATAAGTCATTTGTTTTAAATATACATGTATAACAAATCTGTTTTTGATTTATAAAAAAAAAAAAAATATATAAACATATATCAATACAAAATAAATATATTTATTGTTCTGATCAGAATTTAAAATTTCTTAATAATGTATATCAATGTAATATTATTTTAAAAATTAAAATATATTATAATATCATTGATTGTATTAATAATATTAAACATGAATTTATTTTAATTAATAGTAATTATATCGTGGAGAATTTAGTTATTTTTGTATTAATTGTACATATATATATTTTAACTTGCATTGACGATAAAATATTCTAATAATGATAACACATTTATTATTAATAAACTAATCTAATTTAAATTAATATTCTAATTAAAATCAACAGATATAAATGCAGTTGTAAATATGAACTAGTAAAATAAATTAAATGCGTATTGTTTTTGCTATTTAATAGAAAATAAATAATTAATTATTATTTATTATTTAAACACAAATGAAAAAAATTATATTATGTTTAAAAACGTCATGACTCAAACCCACAAGAATATCAAGTTAATACAGCTTGTTTTCTCATTATTAGGTTAATATACTTGTAAACCTATATTTAACGAATAAATAAAACATACAAATCTTAAAATATTTATAATATAACATCATACCTAAATATTATTTAACTTTACATAACTCCTAATTTCATTAAATTTACCTTTCTACAGTTAAAATTAATATTATTCTTATTTACGTAACTATGTATTTTGGTAATTTTTGTATGACCTAATTTTGATCATCTAATTAAATATTAATTATAATATTTTAACTTCAGTGTGTTTATAATATACCCGAATACTTCTAAGTATATAATATTGATTTATAGTACTAAAATAAAATCTAGATAACTAACAATAAATTTAACTGATTTTTTCTGAAAAGCAAATAATGAGTGTATAAATCATCATTAAAAATTTTTTCGACAGTTAGTATTTCAGACTTTTATCAATTTCATAATCAAGAAAAATAATGAATAGGCATATTTTAATTTATTTATATTATATAAATATGCCTTTTTTAAAGTATTAGAATATTCTTCAACGTTCATCTATTCAAGTGTTCTGAGTTCCATAATATAAATCCACATACTTATTAAACATATTCTTCATCTCTTCTGCTAAAAATGGCAAATGAAAAATCAAAAGGTAA